AGCACCGTAAGAGAGATCAAGAATTTCAACATCTATGAAAAGGAAAGAAACAGATTCTATCTGTCAGCAGATTAGTTTACCAAAAATATAACAGCGCTTTCATCACTAGGATTTCTTTTGACCTCCATCATTTGTGATGTCAGATGATTAGCGTGAGCCCTTTATCAAAGGGTGGGCATTCGTTTAAACAAACATTCATGAAAATTAGCCGAGCTTTCATTCCGAGTTGAAATGAAAAAAAAGTCCAAAACGAAAACAGAAGTCAATGGAAAAAGGAAAATCAAAAGGAAAGCTATTAAAGATCAACTGGATAGAGCGGGAAGGCTTGCAAAACAATGAATAAACGAATAAAGTAGATATCAATTCCAATGCACTCTTGCGTGACGCAATACGGCTGTCAATGGTTGGGAATTGACATTCTTTTCGAAAAGCGGAAAAATTTTTTWGRCGATTCACAATTGTTTAGACCGAAAGCGAGGCTTGTAAATTAATAATCGCTCGAAAACAGACGTTAATTCCAATGTAGTTCTTGGCATATAGCTATCAAGTGGTGGGTGACAATGTTTTCGTAAAGCGGAAGAAAGTGGCGAAAATTTTGGTAGCGATGTAAGAATAATTAATCAGACCTAACAATAACTTTCTTTAATGACTAACCATTTTAAAACATTTCTCAATCACAATGCAGTTTTGAATCGCTTGACGAAGTGCAGCTAGCTATTGAAAGGCGGTAGCGGAAAAAGTTTGCCTTTGTTTCGAATTAAAAGCAAAAGGATTCCGGAATATTGGAATGATACAATTGGCTGTTGAGAATAAAAATTCAGCCGAATCAGAGTGATGGTTCATAAAGTTTGGATTACCGAGGGATGACTCAAAGCTTTGGAGTTCTTCATTATCATTAAATAATCCACCAAGATTTTAGTTAACGCCGGCTGGCAATTTTTAGGTGCGATTTTATTTGTAGCCAAGAGATTTTGATAGCTTTGAGCTAGCATCAGTGGTGGCTATTTCGTAGCAGTGAAAATGTTTGATCATAAGATCTAACAAAAGACTCTGAAGATGGAATCCGCTGAGGATGTCCAACAGTCTGTAGCCTCTAAGTTTACGGTTCAGAAACTGGATTGCAATTTAGATTGACAACAACTGATTGCTCTTGTCGTCGGTCTTGGAATAAGGTAACCAAGAAATGCAGGACTTACCTTTTCTCTTGCTTTACTTTCAGGCTTTCAGGAGCTCTTCTCCGAACCTAGCAAATAACAACAGTGGACACAACAGAAGATATACCAAACTAAAATTGCTTTCAGGCGGGAATCCCCTGGTGGAATATCGCTTTCTATTGATAATTGACCACTGGTAAGGTCGAACAATATCATATGGCTTAAGTCATAAGACAAAAAGAAAAACAAAATGCGACAAAAGTGGCAATGACGTCAAAGAGCCTTTCAACAAATTAAAGAAACTGCCACAAGAAAAGATCCCTTTACGTATGGCTATTGTATCACAATAGCTGTTTGTGGTGTAAACATGTATCTAGCTAAGACCTATTTTTTGTTTATGCTACATTTTTTTCATCCTTAGAACACTAGTAGGGAATTGTTATGTAATTCTTAATTCATTAATATAAAGTTATGTTTAGATTCGTTAGAAAAAAGTTTGCGAGTTATTTATCTTAGCTTGTAAAGTGTCCATATTTTAAACTGTGAATTTCAGAGCTGCATTAGCCTCAAGTTGTAAGCCCCTGTCCATTATGAACAATCGCTTGTCGAAAGAGGCACAACCCCCGCTGAAAATGAACAACTGAGCATTCCTTCAATTATGAGAAATCGAATTTGTCGGCGCAAGCAAAGTGGATCGAAAGAGACGAACGGAAAACGCTGCTGATATGGTATGCGAGTTCAAACTTTGCTTGCTGGTACAAATTACATTTGGATATTATATGAAAATGCTTAAGTTAAGTCTCGAATATAAATTGTCTTATATTTAGTCAAAAGTTGTTCAAATTAAATTGTTGTGCTCAGCAATTAGTTGCGTCTATCTGTATCAATCGTAAGTTGTCATTTGCGGTCATAAGTTTTAAATTGTAGTTGATTCGGTTCCTTTAACGAACATCTAGTAAATTTACATTTTAAGTCTATGATACGCTCATTAGAAAACACGGTTATATATCAACTACATGCTTGTGCGATTTTAGCAACATTAGTGTCGTTTACTACCA